TGCCCAAAGTTTTCTTTGCTGATCATATTTTTCTGATAATTGGACGAGCGTGTCCAAAATATGAATTTCTCTTTTTTATCATATTTATTTAATAGTTGGATTAGTATATCTATAATATATATATATATATTTTTTTAAGTACTCATAGCTAGGCTAGATTGTTAATTTATTAATCAATTAAAAACATAAGTATATTTTCATTTAAACAGTATTATATATACTATAATTAAACTATTATTCTAATTTAATTAACTTGTAGTAAGTAAGAATAAGTCTTTAAAAGGAGAGATAAAGATAAAAATCAAATATTTCTTATTAGGAAACATTAAAATTTTTAAATTAATAATTATAAAAAAACTATTTACAATTGTTCTCTATTATTCAAATCATTGATTTATAGTATTTTTAACTTTTATCCTTATTAAAGTGAAGAGTTATGAATTTTGTCCCTCAAAAATGAACATAAGTGATCTGCAAAATTTTATATAGTAAATACTTTAGGGACCCATCATTAGTCATAAGCATAAAAATCTCTAAGTTTAGCCTTGAACAATATTTCATTCCACAGTATCTTTGGATAAAAACTCTCCTAGTCCACTGTATCATTATTAACAAGTTATTATCACTATATGTCTTATCAAACCACTGGAATACAAATACTATAAAAGGATAGATTAAAAAAAGAGAAAGAGGAATATCTAAAAATGTTTAAATAGATAACAAGAAAATGAAAAAATAAAAATTTGTAAAAAAGATTTTCAGCTTTCTCCAAAAACTTGTTTCTCAAGACCTTTTTTCAATAAGAAATGCTTGATTAGGATATCCATTCTTTTCTTAACTATCTAAGAAACTTATCTATTTTTGATCTTGATTTCCTTTTCATGTACTATCTAAAGAGACTTATTACTTAATGAAAATCTTTACTTCCAAGATACACTTGATTCTAATCTTCTTTGAACAGTAATTTTTTATTCACTTATGATAGAAGAGCAACTTTTAATGGATCCCAGGTTCTTATATGACCTAGTAAGAACTGAATTATATTGTTTCAGTATAATATCTTTCAGCAGCCATACCTACAGTAGTTAAAGGAATTTTACTGATATATATCTTTTATTATTCAAAAGATCAGATTTTCCAATAATCCTTTTGCTTTGTAATAGTAAAAGGATCTTAAAAAAGATAGGAATTCTCATTGATTATGATATTATTCAACAACTTCTGGAAAAATGTATTCTTAATTGTAACCAAAGAGTTGGAACTTAATATAAATTAGATACTGTTTGATTTTATTGTCTAATTGGAATAAGAGGATGACCTTGATTTTGAACTTTACCTGACCAAAATAATAGAAGAGAAGATTTCAGTTTGAACAAATAATAGCTTTTTTACTACTTGGAAACTTGTTACTCATATCTTATTGATCTCATAGAACTTAATCTATTGATTAATCCAATTGAAGGAATAGGACAGATATGAAATATCAATTAACTCTTTCAATTACCAATAATATTATCAGAACATATGAAATAATCAATAGGAATTTATTTATATTCAGCTACTAACATGTTTTGTATAAACCAATCAGATACCAGGTAATTTTGTATTACAAGAAATTTAGGATTAAACTGAGATAGACAAAATTTCTTAAGAAAACTATAAAAACAATAGGTACTTTAAGAAGATATAAAATAGTATATAAAAAAGTGAATAATAAACCCTTCCTTATCAACAAAACCTCTATTTCTTGTTGCTTCCAAATCTGTGAGGTGACACTCCATTTGTTAGTTCTTTTATTTTTTAAAATTTTCTTGCATTTAGTAGAGAAAGTATATACTTAAGTCTTTTCAAGTCACCAGAGACTCAAGTTTTTATTCAAAGGAGTTTATAAACAAGTAAAAGAGGATAGAAGAAATAAATGAAGACAAGCTTCAAGTTGTTTTAATGAAAGTATAAAGACTTTATTAGCAAGGAAGTATAAAACTTCTTATAAACATCTTTTTTGAATGTGATCAGAGGATCAGCAAAAAGAGTTTTTATATATATATCTATAGGAAAGAGTGTTTTCATATTAATAAATATATATAGTATATATATAAAGTTTATAATATTTAATTTATTTATAAAAAAAAATTTTTTTTCAAAAGTGAGTGTCCTATACTATATGTTGGTTGATACAAATTTCTTGGCTATGATTATCTCTCCAATAAAATTTGACAAATCAAATAATAGGAAGTTTAGCATATGTAATAGTGTATTATGTAGATAATCTAAGTGTCACGATTTACGTACACATTCATTGAAACATAAGATTAGCTTTATCACCGCGCCTTAAATTAATAATAATAAGAGACAATTCTATGTCATATAAACTATCTTTGGCGCGTTCTATTATCAGGAATCAATCAAAAAATCAGGTTTTAATTTAATGTTTTTACTGAATTCGCATCAGGAAGGGCTTTAAACCGATCGTATTAATCCTTGTTAGATCCTGAGTAATATGACACAAAAAAATTATCTTGCTGCCGCTCCAGTCTCAAAGCCAGCGGTTCCGTATCCTGTTGATACCTCTGTTGGCCCCATGTTTCGTTATCAAAAATCTCTTCCGAGGCTTCCTGTGCCTTCACTACCTGAGACTCTTGCGAAGTATCTTAATTCGGTCAGACCGCTTGTAAACGAAGAGGAATTCGCGAAGACTGTAACAGCAGTGAAAGATTTTCAAAAGCCTGGAGGAATTGGCGATGAATTGCAACGACGACTCTTGTCGAAAGCAAATAATCCGAATGTTATTAATTGGCTTGAAGATTGGTGGAATGACTTGGCGTATTTTAGTTACCGGGATCCTGTTTGCGTTAATGTGAGTTACTTTTTCGCTTATAAAGATGATAAACTCCGTAAAGATCCTGCTGTTCGGGCCGCTTCAATTATCACGGCCGCTTTGGAATTTCGGAAATTAGTCGTGGAGTAAGCACGCGTCGTCATTACATTCAAGTTAAATTTGGCTCGTGTATATCTGACGTCCTGAAACAACTCAAATATTTACAAAGGGAACAATTAGAACCCGAATACGCGAAAAATATTCCTCTTTGTATGGACTCGTATAGGATGATGTTCAACGCTTGTCGTTACCCCAAAAAGCAAACCGATTTTGAATTAACATTTGATCCCGCAACAAACAACCATGTGACCTTCATCCGAAAAAACAAGTTCTTCATCATGGACTTGGTAAAAGATGGAAAGCAGCTTTCGACTTCTGAGATCGAAAGGTGACTGCTTGAAGTTAATGCTTTGTGAATAATTCAATCCAATAATACACATGTATTATATTAACAAATCTCAACCGATTCTGTCAGTCAAATCAAAAAGATATATGAACTAGCTGGCAACACCAAAGATCCTTCAATTGGAGCTCTCACCACTGAAAATCGAGACAACTGGGCAGACGTTTGTATTCAGAATATTCATTGCATTCGATTACTCGTGAACATCCATATAACGATGATGCTTTTAATCCTGTATTTTAGTACCGCAATCTATTGTTGGCAGCCGATCCCCGAAACGAACAATTGCTTAGAAAAATAGAAAGTTCTGTTTTCGCCGTTTGCCTGGATGATACAGCACCTGTTACACGTGATGAGTTAAGTCACGCGTGTTGGGTTGGTGATGGACGTAATCGCTTTTTTGATAAATCTTTACAATTCATAGTTTTTGAAAACGGAAAGGCGGGATTTTGTGGAGAGGTTAGATCCTAGCGAGTTCATTTAACCTCCGAAATATTATTGCAATCATTACTTATTATTATATTTTAAATCAGCATTCTTCCATGGATGGAACACCGACATGTCGACTAAATGATTTCGTTTGTGATTCTATTTTCAAGAATAGAGTCAATCATGGATCTCCTAATGTTCGTTCTGGACTTCCGGTGCCAGAACAACTTAATTTTACCTTGAACAAAGATGTGCTTGATGTGATCGCGAAAGCCGAAAAAAATTTTGACGACCTTGTCGCAAAACATGACCTTCGCGTATTGATGTATCAGGGGTATGGTAAAAATGGCATTAAAAAGTTGGGATTTTCACCAGATGCATATGTACAAATGATCATTCAGTTGGCATATTATAAAATGTATGGAGCTTCCGTGGCAACATATGAGAGTGCCCAGACAAGAAAGTTTGCTCACGGCAGAACGGAAGTATGCCGAAGTTTTTCTGTTGATTCGGCAACGTGGGTCAAGGCTATGGAAGATCCACTCGTTCCAGTAAGCTAGTTTATTGAGCAGTGAATATCAAATACTTTTATTAATTTAAAGTTGTTTCTGAATACATACTGAGCGGATAATTTTTTTATTATTATCAAGGTTGAAACCAAAGCTAAATTGGGTCAAAAAGCGATTTCGTCACACGTGAAATATATGGCCGAAGCTGTTGAAGGACGTGGTTGTGATCGACACTTGCTTGGTAAGTTTCTTCTTATCACTCCGGGTGTTGACATTTTATTAACTTTTAGTTAATTTAATAATATACGAACAAAACAAGGTCTTCGCATGTCCATTAAACCAGGAGAAAAATTACCATCGATATTTACTGATCCGACATACGCGAAATCTACACACTGGAATTTATCAACTTCCCAACTTTCATCCGAGCATTTTGACGGATATGGATGGGGAGAGGTGGTACCAGATGGTTATGGTATCGCATATCAAGTCAATGCAAATGTTTTATGTTTCAACGTTGTTTCAATGCATTTGAATAATCATCACATGTGCCACTATCTTAAAGAGGCAGCGGATGAGATGAAACAAGTATTTGAAATTGTTCAAGCAAAGGAAGGTCGCGTTCCTTCTAAACTGTAATAGTACGATAGACCCTCATTTTCCCCCAAAACAATTGATTCTCCAGTTTATTTAAATGACTTGTAAATTCTAGATAAGCACCAATTGATAATTTCCCAGCATCTACGTTTAGTTTACCGTGTATAGTAGATAAATTATATTGTGTTACATTTTAACTGCAAAATTTGGGGACGAAATTTTGGTCGAGTCACTATGAACCTAGGTCATGTGACACTTGGATACAATAAATAATGTATTTTGACCTATAAATTATGAAAAACAAATATTTGCCATTCTGAACAGCAGAACTCCTGCATAAAATTTTTTTTACGATACGTACTTTTAAATATCTCTGTAATGGCGAACAGGGATTTTTCGGACCCTATAATTGTCTTCAAAAAATAATTGTCCAATCTATCCAATATTCTACCGGGGGGAGTGCAGCATTACATTCGAGTGAAATTTCCGGATCATGAGGAAAAATGTAAAACGTGACTTAATCGCAGATCGTCACGTAGTAATTTATAGCAAGCAGAGTTCTAGTTGCTATTTTCGATCACGCGGGGGGTGTTCTCCATGGATTTTTCGTGCGTCACCCTTGCGTCACTAATACAGCACCTTTGCAGGTGCAAATGCAATTATTTCGAGTGGAATTTCCGTACTGAAATAATTTATATTATTTAAAGGGAATAATAATAAAATCTGACTGTTTATTAATAAAATTTTTTATTAATAAAATTTTTATTAATTTCACGGGATATAAGGGCTGACGATTTTGTTACGTGCCGATCATTTTATTAGGCACGTACAGTATATTTTTACATTAATGTAAGGAGTTATCGTAATTCGGAAATTTCACTCGAAATAATTGTATTTGCACCTGCAAAGGTGCTGTATTAGTGACGCAAGAGTGACGCACGAAAAATCCATGGAGAAAACCCTCGCGTGATCGAAAATAGCAACTAGAACTCTGCTATAAGATCACAGTAAATTATATAAAGTTTATTTTAACTAGTTTAAATTAAACAAAACAAAATTCAAATTAGATATTTAAGTCAGATTTAGAAAATAATATTTTATTATTTTAATAAATTAATATTAGAATCTCTATTTCTCAAAATTATTATCAATAATTTGTCATTATAAATAATTTTGAAAAGTAATAAATTGTCAAATAAATATATTGATGAAGAAAAAAAAAATAATAATAATTCAAAGTTTTTTTAAAAGATACTTATTTAAATAAACAATCTTTTTTCAAAAAAAAAATTGTTTAATTAAATATTTTTTAGCTTGAACCATCTAACAAACTTATATATTAATTATTAAAACTATATATTATCTAAAAAACTTATTACAAAAAAAAAACTCTTTCCGCTGATCCTCCGATCACACACAAAAAAGATATTCACAAGAAGTTTTATACTTCTTTGCTAATAAAGACTTTATACTTTAATTAAAACAACTTGAAGCTTGTCTTCATGTACCTCCTTTACCCTCCTTTACTTATTTATAAACTCTTTTGAATAAAAACTTGAGTCCCTAGTGACCTGAAAAGACTCAAATACGCATTTTCTCTACTAAGGGCAAGAAGGTTCTAGGAAGTAAAAGGACTGACAAGTGGAGTGTCACCTTACAGAGCTAGAAATGACAAGAAATAGAGGTTTTGTTGACAGGGGAAGGCTTATTATCCACCTTCTTACATACTGTCTTCTATCCTCTTAGAGTGTCTACTGTTTTTCATGGTTTTCTTGGGGGATTTTGCCTATCTTAGTTTGATTCTGAATTTCTGATAATACAATGTCACCTGGCTTCTGATTGGTTGACATGAAACACGTCAGTAATGGAATGTAAACAAGCTCCTATTGGTCACCTTATGTGTTTCAATGACATCATTGGTAATAGAAAGAGTTGATTGGTACCCCATGTCTGCCCCACTCCTCCAATTGGGTTAACCTACAGATCAAGTTCCATGAGGCCAATAAGATATGAGCAACAAGTCCCCAGGTGATGAAAAAGCTGCTATTTGTTCAAGCTGAGGTCTTTCTCTCCAATTATCCTAGTCAGACAAAGTTCAAGATCAAGGTCTTTTTTTTATCCCGGTCAGGCAATAAGACCAAATGATTTCTAGTCTATACTAAGCTCCAACTCTTTAATTATAGTTGAGAATGCATTTCTCCAGAAGTTGTTGAAGGATATCATAATCGACAAGAATTTCCCCTATCTTCTGGTACTCTCCCACTATTGTGAAGCAAAAAGATCTTTGGGAAAAGACTATTTTGGACAATGGAAGATACACACCAGAAAAATTCCTTTAACTAGATATGACTGCTGAAAGGTATCACACTGAAACAACATGACCCAGTCTCTACTGGGTGACATAAGAACCTGGGATCCATAATAAGTCGCCCTCCTATCACAGGTGGATAAAAAATCACTGCCCAAAGAAGGTTGGGACTAAGTGTGTCCTGGAAGTAAAGGCTTCCACTAGATAATAAGTCTCCTCAGATGGTATACAAGAAAAAAATCAAAATCAAGAATGGATAAGTTCCTCAGACGATCAGAAAAAGAAAGAATATCCCAATCAAGTATTTCTTATTGAGAAGAGATCTTGAGAAGCAGGTCTTTGAAGAAAGCTGAAAATATTTTTTACTTTTTTACTCTTTCATTTTCTTTTGTCTACTTAGATATTTTTAGATATCCCCCTTCCCTTTTTTTCAATTCATCTTTTTGTAGTTTTCTGCAATCCAGCGGCTTGACCAGACATACGGCAATGACAATCTGCTGAAAATGATGCAGTGGATTAGGAGGGTCTTTACCCAAAAACATTGCGAAGTAAAATATTGTCCCCAAGACTGAACTTAGAGGCTTTTATGCTTACAATGAGTTAGCTAGATTATAATAAAAAGTTTAGCTGTAGTATGTATCATGCTACTCAAATGAAAATGTACTTATGTTTTCAATTGATTAATAAATCATGAATTTAGCCTGGCTACAGGTATATAAAAAAAATATATATATATATATTATACTCTATAACAATCTGAATTCTTGTAAAAATATATGTTATTTATAAACTTTATTCAGATTTTTCTTATTTCATAATATATTACTATAAATTTTTACTTTTTTAAGATATAAAATCTTTTAGTATATAGTAAACTTTGACTTTTATTTTTTTCAATATTTTGATTATCAGGTTTAAATATATTTTATTTGTTTTAAAAAGTCTTATAAATAAATATTTTACTATATTATAATATTAATAATGTTTTTTATATAATTGTTTTATTTTGATAAAAATTATTCTTATTATTTCTATTTTTATTAAAGGCATTTAAATATTCTTTAAATTAAATTTTTTTTTTTTTTTTTTTTTAAACCCTTGGTCAGACTAATACTGTGTTTATTAATCATTAAGAAAATCGATTGAAATACATAGGGCAATTGCATCATGGCTAAACTAAAATCTCATATTGACGCACTCATTAATGGCTTTCAATTCTCAAAAGAGCTTCAGCCTCTAAGTGCAACCTTGGGAACAATATTTCGCTCTGAACTAAGTTTTGGGTGAAAATCCTCCTAACTTACCCATTATTGCTAGCAGATTGTCACTGCTTATTATCCTCCAAGGAACTGAATTCAAGAAACTACAAAAGGGGAAAGGGAAAATAATAGGAAAGGTGGATATCTATAAATATGCAAA